CCGATCGTTTGGCCAGGATTTTGGCTCCGATTTGGCCACAGGAGAACTCAGCATTGAAAAACGAGCTGGGAGTATGAAATTTACCTCGATCGGCAGTCGAAAAACTCCCCGGTGTGGCGGCGGGTGGCGGCGGCCGGCTCCCCCGGCGTCTGGTTTGTCTTCTCCAGCGAGAGCAGGCGGCTAGAGTTTTTGTGGTCAGGTGTGAGGTTTTATTTATACCCTTTTGCCTTTTAATCACAGCCGTCCATCTTGATTAAATCTGGGCCGTTCGTACTTGATTGAATCTGAACCGTCCGTACGCGTGCATCTGGGCCGTCTGTGCGCGTGCGTCTGGGCTGTCCGTGCGCATGCTTGATCTGGATCGTCCGTGCGCGCGGGGACGCGGATCGCCCACGTGGCCCGTTCCCGGGTCGACGTGGTCTTGCCACGCGACAGGTCCTGGTTGGCCAGGGCTGCTGACTGGGTCGCTGACATGGTTGCTGACGTTGCGCTGACGGGGCACAATTTTTTTAAATTGCGTTTTGGCCTCAGGTTTTCGATTTTCTTTTCAAAAATACCCTCAGAATCCAAATTTTCACCCATTTTCTCAAAATCAATTTCAATTAAATCCAAATAATATTTTTACCCAATTTCATCATTATTTTTATTTTTATTTTTATTAAATTAAATTAAATAAATTAATTAAAAACTAAAAATAATAATAATAAAAATTATAAAATTAGTGGGTGTTACAAAACTCTAGATTTAGAAGGAATAATTATAATTTATTTAGAAAACCTACAATTACATTTTACATCTCGTGTCCCTACTGGCTAAAACTCAACCTCCACTTTTGAACTGCTAAAACATCCCTTTTGCCTCTTCCTTTTAGCTTGCTCTTTTTGATAATTATCTATTTTGCATCTTGATCGGTATCAAATTGGCTGAGAGGAATAAATGAGGGGAGGGTCTAAGTATACTAGGTATGTGGGATGAGAAAAAGGAAGTTTGGGTGTCAGGAATAGTGTTTTTTTAAAGAGTCTAACTAAATTGAGCTTTTCTCGAAAAATATAGCAAAGATCAACTGGCCGTTGAATTAGTTTTCATGTTTTTAAAGAACAAGCTATCAAATTCTTTAGAACTATTAAGGGTACTGGGGAATATGAGGGAGGAGTTAGAACCTTAAAATATTAGGAAAGAAAAAAATTGGCAGATGATATAATACTTGATCTTGGAATTTGACCCATCATTAATTTTAACATTTAAAAAAATGTATAAAATTCTATTTTTGAAATTAATAAATTTTAATTTAATGTAAAATTATGGAAAAAGATAGGTTGATGATGAAATTAAAAATAATTTTGAAAAAAATGAGTGAAAATTTGGGTTCGAATGGTATTTTTAAAAGAAAAATCGAAAATTGAGGATTAGAACAGAATTAAGGAAAATTTTGTCACGTAGGACCGCCCAGTCAGCAGCCTCGACAAATCAGAGCACGCCGCGTGGCAAGTAACGCTGACTCGGTGCCACGCGGGAGCCACACTGACGATCCGTGTGTCCCGCGATCGGACGACCCAGAAGCATTCCCGCTCGCATGGATGGTCTGGATCTGTTCCCTCCTCAAAAGCAATCGGACGATCACGATTTAACGCGGTGAACTGTTCAGATTCATTCATTCTTTAAACGCGATCGGACGGTCGAGATCAAATCACATGAACAGTCCAGATTCATTTGCTCTTTAAACGCGATCGAACGGTCGAAATCAAACGCGATGAACAGTTCAGATTAACGCGAGACGGGTATAAATATTTCACATCACACCAAACCCAAACTCTAACTGCCAGCCTCTCGCCGAAGAAGAAGAATCAGTCGCCAAAGAAGGGAGCTGACCGCCGCTCCCCGCCGCGTCGGAGCCACCTCCGATTGCCAAAAAAGGTAAAAATTCTCATATCCACTCGGAATTTGATTTCGAGGACCCCCATGATCAAATCAGAGAAAAAGAAAAGCGGATGAGCTAGAAACTGCGGACAAAATTCGACGGCGCTACCACGGTTAAAACTTCTAACCTCCTCCGATGAGTCCCTTCCCGTTTTTCGTTTAGTGGGATTTTTCTACCATTATGTTCACCATTCTGTTTTCTATATGTTAACCAAAGAAAAATGCTCAACCGTGAAGGTGAGCTGACAGAGCCACCATATCGGAAAATTTCACCACCAGTAGGTTTCTGTTTTTTAAATTTTTTGGGCCAACTAAAGCCTTCTAACGTAATTTCTCGCAGGGGTTGGGTATAAAACTGGTCAAAACCAGCCAAAATTGGCTGAAAACGACGAGGTCGAGGCAAACTACCGCCGTGAGCAGCAGTGCCACCGCCGAAGCACGGCAGAATTCTGAAATTAGCCAAAAAAGATTTTTAACACTAATTTTAAATTTTTAAGGTATTTTTAGGTACATAAAGCGTGTTTTAATCTCTACAAGAAAATTCAGAAACCCGGAGACCGCCAGTAGGCGCAGTAGAAAATTCGGTATTTTGGGCACCTATTTGAGTAAGAATATCTCACTTTATTCTCTGTTATAAAATTGAGGTTTAATAATCGATAATATGATATTTTGTATAATTTAAAAAACTTTGAGAATAATTACAGGTTATTAATGGAGTCAAAACCGGTTAGTTATTTATTTGTCTTATTTAACTGATTATTGAATTTACAGCTTTAAATACATGATAATATACTGGAATAGTTGAATGATTCAGTTGTGCTTCCTTAATATATATATATTGCTTGTTTTGCATGATTTACAGTTGATTTGTGAAATTGAAAATTAATATGTAAACGAAAAATTGATTGGTCATGTGAATTAATGAATGATAACCTTACTAGATATCCTAGAATATTATAAACGGACCAGATACATAAAGAACCCTACCGTGAACGTTGCCTCATACCGGATGGGATATCGAATAATGATATTTTTGGCGTTCATACCGGATAGAGTATGAAGATAGCCGGTTAGTTGACAATGTTGGATATTGATTCACGCGTAATGGGACATCCCTATGGGCTCTCAGGAATACCAGTAGATAAATAAAAATGGAAAGTTATTGTTTTTCCTCACTTGAATATGATATTAGAATGTTATTTGAGTTATTATCTCTATAATTCGATTTTGGAAATCTCGCAGCGGTGAATATATGCAATAAATAGTTTTTCTTATGATAAATTAATTTAGTTAAATCAAGAGTTTTATTAGTTATTTTTATCATTTTTACCAACCTTCAGTTTCTATATCGGTGAATAGTATGATATTCTTATAGGGTTAGTGTACCTCACTCTTTCATTAACTATTTCAAATCAAGAGAACTAAGACCCGGATCCCGATCAACAAGAGGATTGTGAATAGTTCACTACCTAAAATTCCTTCAAATGCTAGTGAAGGTCGTTCTACAATACTCAGTATATTATCTATTGTTTATATTTTTTATTTTCGTTTGTTCTTTGTAATGGACATTCTCGTATTTCTATCGAGCATTCTAAATTATTGTGTAACGAATGTAAACCCTAAACTTTATTATTTTGCTTTCGCATTTAATTTATAATTTTATTTCTTTTTAAATTCCGGGTCTCTACAGAGGATATGCCTAAGGAACTTAGATATCTTTTTAGGTTTAGAAATTATGTTAAGAGTGTTTCAGATATTGATTTACTATGTTACAGAAAATTGTCTTGAAATGTGAAGGTTATGAATGATACAAGGAGCAAAAAATTATCAAGGATTGTTTGTCCTCATAGAAGCCTAATGTGGTGCATTTGCAAACCCAATAGAGGTGTTTTCTCACATTTAATGCATCCTCTTATACTTTCTAGCTATCTTTGATCTTTGGATCCACTTGACCAATTCAGAATCAGTTCCACTTGCTGAAGGATGGAGTTAGAACCTCTTGCTGCTATTTTGAAGTGCGAGGTGGCCAATTTACCTATGAAAGATTCGGATTTTGGTTTACATATCAGGAAGAGTATAAAAATAAAAATTTTATGTCTATTTCATTTCTGTAATTACTACTTACTGGGTGGCTTCCTTTGCACAAGTCATTTGCATGCATGGGTACTCTGAAAAAGATCTCTGTGGTTGTTTTAGCTGCTGACATCTATAACTTTATTTAATTCCCACAATCACTAGGCATTATGGCTTCTTTCCCTCATAAGCATGGGTGACAAGGAAGAACTTGTCAAAAGAAAGGTTTCTGTGGTCCTTTATATATGCTGACGTCTAATAACTTTTTTTCCAATTTCTTCAACCCCTACTAATCACATAGCCTCCTTGGCTCATGTCTTTTACTTGCATGGATACTCTAAGAAAGATTTACTGTGGTAAGATACTTGTTCTTTTCCTAATTCACTAGCATGCATTTATGGTAGAGGGAGACAGTTTCAGTTTCTGTTGGTTTATGGTTGTGTTCAAACTACATCTTTCACTTTTCTCAGTTATGATTACTCAAAAGAGAGAGTTGTGTGGTTCTTGATATCTGCTGTTGGCATCTTTTGTCTTGGTTCTGGGGCTACAATTGTTCATGGAGTGGAGAATTTGTGGACTTCACAGATAATTCATCTTGTGAATTTTAATTCCCACTTAATCACTAAAATACAAACATCTCAGAATCTTCTCTTCCCCCTTGGCCTTTTTCTTACCTTATTCCCCCTTTTTCTTCATATACATAGTTTGTTACGTACAATGGGGGTTTTTTGTCTTTTTCAGACTCCACCAAATATTCAGCATGCAGCTCTGGTGACAGGTGGTTCCTTTATAATTGAAGGTTACTTTGTTTTGTATGATTTTTGGAAAGTTGATCTTAATGAGCATATCTTCAGGTTTGAGTTTTTTATTCTTTTTAGGTGCTTCCCTTATAGTTGCAATAAAAGCTGTCAAAAACGGTGCAGCTGCAGAGGGAATGAAAGTGAGAGACTATGTCTGGCGAGGACACGAGTCAAGGAGACTACGTGATCAGTAGGGATTGGAGAAAATGGAAAAAAAAGTTATTAGATGTCAGCATATATAAAGGACCACATAAACCTTTCTTTTGACAAGTTGTTTTTTGTCACCCATGCTTATGAGAGAAAGAAGCCATACTGCCTAGTGGTTGTAGGAATTAAATAAAGTTATAGATGTCAGTAGTTATAAACAACCACAGAGATCTTTTTCAGAGTACCCATGCATGCAAATGACTTGTGCAAAGGAAGCCACCCAGTAAGTAGCAATTACAGAAATGAAATATACATAAAAATTTTTATTTTTATACTCTTCCTAATATGTAAAACAAAACCCAAATCTTTCATAGGTAAATTGGCCACCTCGCACCTCAAGATAGCAGTAAGAGGTTCCAAGTCCATCCCTCAGCAAGTGGAACCGATTCTGAATTGGTCAAGTGGATCCAAAGATCAGAGATAGCTTGAAAGTATAAGAGGATGCATTAAATGTGAGAAAGCACCTCTATTGGGTTTCCAAATGCACCGCATCAGGCTTCCATATGGACAAACAATCCTTGATAATTGTATGCTCCTTGTATCATTTATAACCTTCACATTTCAAGACAATTTTTTATAACATAGCAAATCAATATCTGAAACACTCTTAACATAATTCCCAAACCTAAAGAGATTTCTGAGTTCTTTAGGCATATTCTCTGCCAATTTGTTTCTTTCCTGATATTTTAAGGTTTTAACTCCTGCCTCCTTTTCCCTAGTACCTTTAATAGTTCTAAAAAATTCAATAACCTGTTCTTCAAAACCATGAAAACTAACTAAACGGCCAGTTGATCTTTGTTATATTTTTCGGAAAAAGCTCAATTTAGTTAAGACTCTTGAAAAAAACACTATATACCTAACACCCAAACTTCCTTTCTCTCATCCCATATACCTAGTATACTTGGACCCTTCGCTCATTTATTCCTCTCAGCCAATTGGAGACCAGCCACTATGCAAAGTAGACAATGGAAGAACGCTCTTTTCAGAATGGTACCCAAAAGCACAAGCTAAAAGGAAGAGGCAAAAGAGATGCTTTAGCAGTTCAAAACTCGAGGTTGAGTTTTAGCCTGCAGGGACAAAAGATGCAAAATGTAATTGTAGGTTTTGCTAAATAAGTTATAATTATTCCTTTTAAATCTCGAGTTTATTGTTGTCGTTAAGAGTATTAATGTTTATTTCGTCTTAAATCCTTCAAAAGTTTCTATTAGTATCTCTCTTTATAGTTAGATTATGATTAAATTGAAGCTTTTTTAATCTCAATCTCACTTATGAGACAGCCATAAGTCATTTTCAGAAAATTTCCAAGCCAAATTGGTCCTTATGATCATGTGATGCAACCAAACTCTCAAATGCTAATCTCCTTTTCTGAGTCAAACTATAACCCCCTTAGTTCTGATATCTAAGAAATCTTAGTCATGATGTCTATATTGAACCAATTAGCCAATGTTGGAAAAGCTATCCTACTTTGTCCTGCATCAATACATGACAATAATTGCCAATAGAGATCATGATCTTTTAAAAATAAAGCTTATACACACAAAAAGACAGACTTCTAGAATCTAGGAACATTTAGATGCATGATATTGAATGGTAGAAAACACAGAACGTTGATGAGAAAATTAAAAGAAATAAGTTTTTACGAAATAACTCACGGATGAAGAGCATCTAGTGCACGCCTTGAGCTACTGAGACCATAAGCAAGAAGTGCCTACAAGGTTAACATGAATTAGTTTCTCTCCATTCAATAATCAATAAATTCAGTCAGAGTTACAGCAAAAGCAAAATGGATGAGAAGAATAATTTCAATAGCAACTTCAAAAGGCCAAAAAGGACTTGATTAGCGAAATCTGCAACTGAGTGAACAACTTCAGCCAATATAACGTGGCTAGAGGTTGATACCCAGACACCAAACTTCAGAGAAAATACAAGAAAGTTGCACCACAATGCAGTAGTGACTGCCCGTTGACTGCAAGAGATTATTATTTTTAAAATGAGGAAGTAAAACGAGATAGAAATATGCTTAGATTGTGAAAATGGGCGATTTTTCCAGTACTCTAAGCATCAATAATGAAAAAAGAAGCAAAACCATAATATTTTCAATAAAACACACACATACAAAATTCTCCAAGTAATTATGTAAAAAAAGAAAGAAATCAGAGATAACATTGCCTGTGTTGATCATTGATTTCAATCCTCTTAATTTGTTTAGACCTTGTGAAAAAACATGCAAAAATTCCACTCTCACCATTAGTCCAATAAGCAAACATCCCAAACAGAGTTGTTTCGATGAAGAAACGTACTGCGATGAAACGAGTACTGATGATTACGGTAGTGATCACTATGCGAAGACACCAATTCCGGGCAACCGCGCGAGACGAAACTCCGATACTGCAGATAGGAACCTAGCTGAGAGCTAGAAATCTGCTGCGTGAAACTAGGCTCCAAATTGTAGTTTTTCTTGCTGGTTAATAGCAGCAATTGAGAGAGATAACTAGTGTCATTGAAGAGAAAGTTGCCAATGACAGGGAAACGAGAGCTGCGACTAAAAGTGGACAAGTGTTTAGGGGAATGGAGAAGGCGAGAGACAACGCGAAATGATGTTTGCATTTAAGCACAGTCACGAATTTTCTTTTCTTTTCATTCCCTTTCTGACAATTCTCAACTCTGAAGAAAAAATGTCTGAAAAACAAGTGCCAAATTTATCGGAAAGAAGAAGAATTCTCTGAGAAATGTTTTGAAAATGCTTTCTGCTTTGGTTTACACCTGGTTAGATGCACTTATTAGTTGGCTGAGAGGAATATATATATATATATATATATGTTTTTATGGCAGAACTTGCATAAATTGGTATATTAAAGTAAACCAATGCATAATATAAATATTACCATTTTCTTCTCTTTCAAAACTAACTATATTTCCTGTTCTCTAAAATAAGATAAAATTGCGAACAGAAAATATAACTCAACCAAAAAATCTTCTGCGTATCCTCTTTAATAAATAGAGGTAAATATTGGTATGCAATGTCATAAACATATTTTACTAGTAGCTTTATATACAAATGTATATATATATATATATCATTTATAATATAGAAATTAAACATTATTCCGACCCTTGTCACATGGATATAAAATGAGATAGTTGTAAGGGCTTTTAGATTTTTATTTAAATTATGTCGAGAGTTAATCCATTTACAGTAAATATGAATTGAAGATGTCGTTAAAATATTTTATTATTTACTTTCATTTACTTTATACTAAATTTTTTTTTTCTATAAATATGCAATATTGTAATGTACACAGTTAGGTTTGAAGTATTATAATTTAGTGATATCAAAGGTTAAGTTTTTATACCTTATAACTTCTACTTTTAATTAAAATCACTTATATTTATTAATATTTAATAATTCTTCTACTTTTTGATACTAAAAATAGAAAGCACAAGTTTAACCAAACAAGCACTTATTAATCATGTTTTGCATTATATTAATATATTTTCATTACCATATAAAACAAAAAAAAAAGGTTAAGATCATAAATATATAATACATTCTAAAATAAAAAAAAATATATATATATATAATACATATATGTTTTTTTTATTTTAGAATGTGTTTTGTGTGAAGAAAGTTGACAAATATATATAGAGACGCGGTTAGCGTATCGAAACAAACAAATAATCACAAACTCTCTACGAAAATATTATGTTATATATGTTAAATGTCCTCGACCAAATTTCAACAATTTTCTATTTTGCTTATCAATTAAATTAATTAGCAATACTTTTGAAATTATCTATAACCAAAATTTAAAAGTAACAATCGGCTTAAAAAATAAAAAAATATTTGATATTGTCAAATAATTAGTCTCAGTCTCAATAGACTAAAATACAAAATTATTTTAATGTTATTAAACTCTATTCAAACTTATTTTTGTATCTTTATATTTAAATCGATTTTGTAATTTTAGAAACTATTCAAATAAAATTTCTATCATCAATTTTTTAAAGTACTATTTATAAGAAGAAGTTTATTTAATAAATTTAAGGCCACTTAGAACAAAATATAAATTAGTTAAAGAATTCACTCTCAATCATAAATTTAATATGTGGCATATTTCAATAATTGGAATTAATGTACATATATTCTTTATATCACAATCTCAATAATAATAGTAACTGTGAATGATACTATATTTCAAGCAAAATTATAAGTATTATTCACTTTCTTTATTTAACAGATGCTCTATCTTTTTACTCTTCTATATTTATATAAAATATGTACAAGTAAGTAGTATAAGAAATAAAATTAAAATAAAAAAAGTATCTATAAATTATGAATAGATATAAGGACATTAATATACCATAAACAATATATATGCAGACAGATTTAAGAATGCATATAATATAAGTAAGAATAAAAATGCATACAACAAATATTGAATTAAAAAAAAAAAAAAAAAAAATTTATGTACTCACCATTACTTGAGAGTAATGACGAATGCATTTTTAACGTGAGTTATATCAAAAAGATCATAAGATCTGTTTTTTTAATTTTTCATCGAATGCTACTTCAAATTTGATAAATTTCGCTTTCATGTCTTTACGACGATCAAACATTGATGGCAACAAGTACGTTGATGGAACAAGTGCTCATAATAATGAAGATTGAATAAGTAGAACGAATCTCCATCTCAATTGCCATCCAAGAGAGATGGCATAATCACACACAAAGAGCACACGTTGCCTAGAGATAAATAGTGTAAAGACTTTCTCTCTCTCTTGCTCTTGTCTTTAAATTGAGGGAGCTCACTCCAATAAAGGAAACAAAAATTTTTACACCAAAAAAAGTAAAGATGCTCACAAACAACAAAATGAATGTTTTGAAATATGTGGATTATTAGTTGGTCAATTTGAAAACTGCATAAACACTCCCATTTGTTGGCCCCAATAAAATGATGAAAAATTTAACCAAAAATCGAAAAATTTAAAAAAAAACAAAAAAAAAAAACAGACAATCTCCATACATGGAGGTTGAATTATTTTCTTTTCGTTAGAAAAAAGAATTTAATATTACTTAGAAACAGAAAAAATATATTTGAAATAAATATTAAATTTTAAATCTAAAAACATACATGTCTTGGCTTAAAAAAACAATTAAGACATTTTGGAAAAATAAAAAAATTAAAAAAAAAAACAGTTATTTCTCAATCTCCGCGTATGGAGTGTGAATGGACACGTTTTTTTTTTTTTCAAAAAAAATTTGGTTGAATTTCAGTACCCATTTTTTCGCGGGAGCAAACGGCGAGGAAGCCTTCCACATTTCCCGCATTCGCCAACCAATAATCCACAGATTCGACAACATTCTGTTTTTTGTTTGTGTACGTCTCTACGTTTATTATAGTTTTCTCTGCAATTCCTGTAGAAACTGCTGCTTCCTTTTATTGAGGTAGCCTTCTTCAGTTTAAAGGATAGAGAGAGAGAGAGAGAGAGAGTGCCATTGTGAGATTTGGCTACAGGCATTGTGTGATTTGTGGAGGGATCCGCCATCTCTCTTGCAGGAGCGATTGAGGTGGAAAGTCGTTCTAATCGTTCTGAATTATTATGAGCACTTCCTCCTCCAACGGACTGTTGTTGCCATCAATGTCCGGTCGTCACGAAGACATGGAGGCGGGTTCTGCCAAGCCTGAAGAAGAATTCAATGAAGAACTCGAAAACGATCCGGACGATCCTTTCGATATCGCTCAAACCAAAAATGCTCCCGTTGAGACTCTCAGGCGATGGAGGGTAATCAATTTTCTTTGTCCTTCTCTTTTTCTTTGTTGTGCGCTTAAACATTCTTCCTTTTCCTGGCCCCCAGTTTGGATTTATTACTTTATGTGTCTTGTTTATGTTGAATGGTCATTGCAATTGAATGAGATTGGTTGTTTGCATTTTCATTTTTCATCTCTCATCTTTTCTCCATGAGATGCTTTTGATTCATGAGACAAACATGAAAATGTTGCCAACTGCATGATTTATATTCTGGCTAATCATAAAAAAATGATGATTGTTTCTTCTCCAAAAAAGAAAGAATATTCTGGCTGGTGAAATTGTTTAATTTGTAATGGAAATATATTCTCAAAAAAAAAAAAGAAAGTAATGAGCAGTTGGTTATCCACTGAGTCAGATATTTCATCAATCTGATCTGCAGTTTAGTTGTGTTCAAACATGTTATTCAACTCTGAATAATCAAAATAATGATAATTACCTTGCCAATTAGTGGCACTATATTCTATTTGTCAAATTGTTAAGTAAAATTAGATTATCGGTTGAAAATTGGTGAGATAAAAAAAAAAAGACAATTCATTTTTCTTTACGTTAAAAATTTCTGGAAAATAGTTTTTAAATTAAATTGGATATAAAGGTGCCAAGAACTCAATACAAATATATCAGTATTGTTCAATTAGAAAAAAATTAGATAAAAAGTAGAGCTTCATTGAGTTTGAGCTTGAATAAACTCGACATAATCGAGCTCGTCAAGAGCTTGTTTATGACATACATTTTTATTAATAAATTAATAAAACAAATTACTATTCAATATTATAAATATGTAATTACATAATATAATTAGTGTACTATAATAAAGATATTTATAAAAATATTCTTTATTATAAACATAGAATTATATAATATAATTAGTATAAAATTTAAAAAATATATGATATATTTAACAAATAAATAATATAACTAATTTCATAATTGATCAATATAAGCTTTGGATCTGAATAGTTTTTGGCTCGAATTTAGTTAGTTAAACGAGCCCATTCTCTTAGTCTTAAGTTTGGCTCTAGTTCAATTTTGACCAAGCTCGAGACTAAATTGAGCTTAACTGATCATAGTGTTTTATTTCCTTGATCCAAAGTTAACTGATACTTGTTTTGCATGTTACTTGTGGTCAAACTGGTATTTATCATTAAAATGAGAAAGCTTACTCCGAATATTATATGTTTGTTATGCAAACAGGAGTGTTTTAAGTTTGGAATAAAGTTCTTATTTATTTACCTTTTTTCCCTGCAGCAAGCAGCATTTGTATTGAATGCCTCTCGACGATTTCGGTATACTTTGGACTTAAAGAAGGAAGAAGAAAATGATCACAGGAGAAGGATGATTAGAGCTCATGCTCAAGTCATAAGAGTAATGTTTGTTGTTAATCGATATTTTCACATGTATATTTGCCATTCTTTTGTACTTGTTTCGTTTCTGATCATTCGGCACTCTTCCATCAGGCAGCATTGCTTTTCAAATTGGCAGGGGAACGACAACTTGGTATGTCACCATATGAGCATTTGTCATCAAACCTATCTTTTATGCATTTTCTGTCCAAGAATTGAGCCAATATTGGCTTTAAATATACTAAATTTGATTTCCATCGTAAATTGTGAGAAGAAAATTATAAATGTTAGGTAATAGAGTTGAGCCAATTTTTTAAGAGCTTTAGACTAATTGAAAATGACTCAATTTATTGTTTATAACTAATACACTCTTTCATACACATGCTCACCATGTTGAAAGTGTGGATCATGCACAACTACCATTACCTTGTGCGAAATTAACTTTTCAATAATAATAAAATAGGATAATTATGCATTCAAAAACCATCTTGTTCTGCTGCCATGTTAAATAATAGAACGGAATTGATTTTCCCAAAAATTAAGTTAATTGGCAATGAACAAATCTACTTTTTTTTAAAAAAAAATAACAACAAAGACTAGGGATTAATAAATTCTGGGGCAATCTAACGTTCATTTATTACCAATGCTCTTGAAAGGATGGTACTAGATGGGAGATTGTTGACAAACATTCCCTTTTAGTATGCCAAGTAAAATTCCCATTTGAAAAATTTTGCTGGTTGGACTACATTTTCTACATTCTCTTTCGCTTTTGTATAGAGATGAGCTGGCTATTTTTCTAATGTCTAGCTAGTCTTTCTCTTTTTACTTTTCTTGCATTCTTTGTTTTGCTAGAGGATACCTAGCCTTTTTGTCTTGTATTTTCTCCCTTCTCAATAATATTTCTTTATTATCTATATAAACGTAAAAAAATTTCTCCATCCATAAGGTCCCCTATGAATTTAGTCTACTACAGAATTTGATAGTACCAAAATTAATAGTCTGTTTATTGTAAGTAACCAAGTTTCATAATCAAGGTATCTTTAGGAGGAAAAAGTAGTATTATAGAGAAAGGCAGCAAGCCATTCATGTAGAACAGAATGAGTAATTACAAGAAGGATCAGCCAAACTATCTAAAAGGTAACCAAGCTCTTCTCTGTTGAGAAGAGACTGGCCTCCGAACATAATACAGAAGGTCTGGTAACCAGCAATTTTTTATCCTAGAATAGATAAGAACCTCCAAGTGGTTCGAAAAAAATATTGGGAGAATGGGGAATTCACTTCTTGTTTTTATCATCTTGAATGCCATGCTGAGCTAGTTATTCAGAGGGAATATTGCCATTCACCATCCACTAGACCCAAGTTTATTAGCACTGTCTTTACTATTACAAGATAGTGTTTAAACATTTCTGATCTTCGCAGCATAATATCCCAATGATGGTTCATCATGATGATAACAAAAAACTATATTTTTTTAGCTATTTTAATTTGTGGTTCCTGTTTTGGTATTTCAGTCTTATGATCGGGTTTAACGTCAGTCTAAAAGCTATATTTGATTCGTGACAACTGGCATATGAAGCCATCTTGTTTGGAATTTTTAGTTGTTGCAATTAAGGGATTAGGATAGCTATATGAAAGTCATTATCTACGAGTACCATTCTGGCATTGTAGCTTGAGCTCGGCATGCTAAATATAAAGAAAACTAGTTTTGCTTAGACAGAAAGGTGATAAAAAATGTTAACTCTTCATGGATAGAATGTGAGTAGTAGGATGATATTCATTCTTGAGCTAAACAAGTACTTATCATGCCATTGAAGTTTTTTATTTACTTGTTAATTTGTTTCAACTTATACAGTGCTGGGCACAACAGTTACATCTCCAACTTCTGCTGGTGATTTCACAATTGAACTAGAACAACTTGCTGCAATGACCAGGGATCATAATTTTTCTGCTTTGCAACAATATGGTGGTGTAAGTCAACTGTTATCATATTATCCGATCTATGCCAAGTTGCTGTTTCGTTAGGTTCCCTGATGTATTCTTACTATTGCATCAGGTTAAAGGATTGGCAAGTAAGTTAAAATCAAATCTTGAGAAGGGAATTAATGGGGATGAAATGGAAATCATAAACCGGAGGAATGCATTTGGATCAAATACTTATCCACAGAAGAAAGGAAGAAATTTCTTGGTATATAACTTGCGCCCTATGTTTGTCATCCTTTTTGCTAGTCAACTTGCTCACTTCTTTTCTCTTTTTACTTGGCTACAGAGGTTCCTCTGGGAAGCTTGGCAGGATTTAACTCTTATTATCTTGATTATAGCTGCTATAGCTTCACTTATATTGGGAATAAAGACAGAGGTTAGTTTCTGGTTCATTTCATTGCTTGTTTAGATTAAACTAGAAATTCTTTGGAGGACACCCAACTCAAGGTGCAAGTTTGGTCTTATTCATGTGTAAAACATGCTTTTTGATATGACTGAGCATTGATAATACCTTGTGACACCTGGACTTTCTTTTATCATGATGAAAATAACTAGCTAGCCACAAATAAACGATAATTCTCTTTGATGTGCTAATGAACTCCATTAAAATCCAAAATGTGCTAGAGATGGAAATGCATATTTATCATGTTAACACAGATTGTTAATACTTTTTTTATTATCACATGGATGTTTGTAAATTTTCCAACAAAATTTTGGAGCCATCAGAAAAAGTTGTACCATGAATGGAATATGCTGTTTTACGAGCTACCATATAAATTCTATGATAGATTTATTTCCTTGGGCCCTTTCTCCTTTCACCTTTCCTTTGCTATTTTACGTTTGTGCATGGTTTCATTTTTATTTTTATTTTACTTCTAGTTTCTATTATTCTTGAGAGGGGAGGTTCACTTTTCTCTCATTATTGACATTTTCTCCCTGCCCGTTTTGGATATTTTTCTCAGGGTTTGAAAGAAGGATGGCATGATGGGGGAAGCATTGCCTTTGCTGTTCTTCTTGTTATTGTCGTGACTGGTATGAATTCAAAGTGGTTACGTACTCCTTGTTTTAGCATCATATGAGTGCTTTGCAGATGATAAGAGAATTTGGGTAGTTCGTACGAATTGCAATAGTTTCCTCAAAGATCTTTTCTCTGATTCCCCTTCTTGAGAGTGGAATTGGGATAAATTTTGTTGTGGTTTTCTTCTGGCTCCTTCATATAACGTGTTTACGTATTTAGCCTTAAGATTAAAATTTCTTAGAGCATTAGCATCTGATTTTTTTTTCTTGTATTTTGTCTGGCTCCTTGATAGAAGAAACATGTCTGTGGTAAATTATAGGTTAGCAAGTAGGCCTTACTTTATCCTACTATGATCTCCAATTAAAATTAAATCAGTGTCCAGCATTAGCATCTGAATGTGACTTGGTGCAGCATTTTTTGCCTGCTTATTATTTAACTACTTAGAAATGCGATATATGTTTCCTGTTTTTCCTTTCTTAACCTTATCCTTTCATACTCTTTTATCAGCCACTAGTGATTATCGTCAATCTCTTCAGTTTCAAAATCTCAATGAAGAAAAGCGAAATATACAACTAGAGGTATGTATTTTTTGCAGCATGTGAAAGGTCATACTTGTTACATCCTTCAAATTGGAATTAATCTGTTAATCCTTAGTTGAAAATCTTCACAGGTCATGAGAGGTGGTAGAACAGTGAAAATTTCGATTTTTGATATTGTTGTTGGAGATGTTGTACCACTTAGAATAGGTGACCAGGTGCGCATACTTTTTGGAGGTTTCTATTTTGTTTTCAGTGGTACTTAACTTTTTTTATTTTAGCTTAATTTACTCTTTGCACGTTATGCTTAGGTCCCAGCTGATGGAATCTTAATTATGGGTCATTCTCTTGCCATTGATGAGTCTAGCATGACTGGAGAAAGCAAGATTGTAAGTTTGTTTTTCTGTCTATTGAGGTAACTCTATCATATAATCCAACTTCTTTTTGTTTCTAAGCATGGTTTGGCTTGTAGGTACATAAAGATCAGAAGGCACCCTTCCTAATGTCTGGTTGCAAGGTAGCTGATGGTGTTGGTACTATGCTGGTGAGTTACAAAATGTTTTTATACATAAACATATGTGAAGTTTGTAAAGGAAGACATAAACATGTTTTCTTCTTTTAACAAATAGAACCTTGCACTTTCTCTGGTTTTGGGAAGAGAACAGTTGAGCAAATGAATCTACTTTAAATAATTATTTTTAGGTAACTGGTGTTGGAATCAATACAGAATGGGGATTATTGATGGCAAGTATCTCTGAAGATACTGGCGAAGAGACTCCCTTGCAGGTTTTGTCTTTACCAGTGCTGCTTATACACTAGTTACTTACAATAATGTGATAAAGACCTTTATGATTATTTTTTGACAAACTTGTGATAGGTACGCTTAAATGGAGTTGCAACTTTTATTGGCATAGTTGGGCTTACTGTTGCTCTTTCTGTGCTTATTGTCCTTTTGGTCAGGTGAAATTAGAAATTAACAATAATCTTGAAATGTATAATTTTAATATTTCTTTAGATAATTTCACATCTCTTACTGTTTGTATAATTTTATTCGGGCTTTCCAGATACTTTACTGGCAATACAACATTCCCAGATGGAAGGATCCAGTTTGTTCGAGGCCAGACTAGCCTCGGAGATGCAGTTGATGAAGTTATCAAAATTATTACCATCGCAGTACGTCGATATTTAATAAATCTATATATTTAGATTGTTATTAATTAATATTTTCACTAATTCTGGTCTGGTGCCATTCAGGTTACCATCGTGGTTGTAGCAGTACCTGAAGGGCTTCCTCTGGCAGTTACTTTGACGTAAGTTTACGTTCATGATTTTGATGAATGATATCATTTGTGTATATATCTATAAAACAATTATTTTTTCTTATTCGTTGGTTTTACTTACCTTTGAACATGATTAATAACAGTCTGGCATACTCAATGAGAAAGATGATGGCAGATAAAGCTTTGGCAAGTATCAACACCATCACTTCTTTTTAGAAACTATTTATTGATTCTGTCCAGAAATTTTGTTTATACTCAAAGCTTCTACACTTACAGGTTCGGCGACTTTCAGCATGTGAAACTATGGGTTCTGCTACAACCATTTGCAGTGATAAAACTGGGACATTGACGTTGAATCAGGTACATGATACCCAGGAGATTTGATGGAAAAAAATATTTGAGACTTGTCTCACATTTATATCAGCACCATGCATTCATTACATTCTCATAATTGTTAATTAAAACAATATTAAAGTTGTTACTTATATATCATTCCAATTTGTTTGAAATTGTTCAATACTTTGAATCTTGTTGTACAGATGACAGTTGTAGAGGCATATGCTGGGAAAAAGAAAATGAACCCACCAGAGGACTCCTCTCAGCTTCACCCAGCTCTGGCCTCTCTTCTATATCAGGGTGTGGCACAGAACACTACAGGCAATGTTTTTGTGCCTAAGGTAGTTATTTACTTATCTTAATACTGCTTTTTGCAATAAAATGAGCATTTTAATAAAGATAGGAAGCTGCTAAAAGCAAGTATTTATATATTTAGAATCGTTTTGGGCTATTTCCGTTCTACATTACTTGCTTTCCTTCCTGTGAGAATTACAGTCCAGCTCCTGTGCAAAATATAATTTGATTTACATATTATGGCAGGATGGTGGACCTGTGGAAATTTCCGGATCTCCTACAGAAAAGGCTATTCTTTTATGGGCAGTCAAGGTACCTCTTTAGTTTACTTTTTCATTATATATGATTCTTTTCTTCTCTAAAGTTGCTTAAAGCTCTGACATCCTCGTTACAGTTGGGAATGGAATTTGATGTTGTCAGATCAGAATCCTCAATTATCCACGTTTTCCCTTTCAACTCAGAGAAAAAGCGAGGGGGTGTTGCAGTAAAAGGGGTAATGCCTTCATCCTATCTCTGAATTTCTAAGACAATTTTCAAAAAAGGTTATATCAGTATTACTACTGTATGCATTGATGTTTGCAATGATATCAGATGTATTGTTTTCATGATGCTGCAGCTCTTGAATATTTTGTATACTTTAGCGCAACGAAAGTATCAAAAGGGACTGCTATTTGTCTCATCTCCAAACTTTTGATTTGGAATCTGCTAGAAATAATATTATTGTTTTTCTAATAATCCCAGATGCATGTAAACATAGTTATCCTTTCTCTTAAAAGTTCATATGTCATGATCGTATTTCCAGTCAAAATATATTTTCCTCTTCCAGAAAAAAGGAAAGAGGTGCATAGTCTCTTTTATTTATCCCTTCATTTGGTTTATGCCAATGCTGAAAACAAGCTCTACTTTGTCGTATGCTAAGGAGAACAAGTGGTTGATTAATGGCAGGCTAAGTCTGAAGTTCATATACATTGGAAGGGAGCAGCTGAGATAGTTCTAGCCTCATGCACGCATTATCTTGACTCAAATGGTCACCAGCAACCTATTGAGGAAGAGAAGGTTAGGGACAATTCTCTTACGCTGAAATAATAATAAGAAAGGAAATATAACATGCATTTTTTGAGATATGACTATAAATGAAAGGTTAAAGTTGAGCAATGCATCAGTGTGCTCTTCTTGAATTACTATTTGTCAATGACATTCTCAGATATTATTTAAGTAATTGAACAGTGGCATTTCTGCGTAAGTACTGGTAGGCATGAACGTAAAGCAAAAGCAATTTCTATTAGTTGATATACAAAATCATGAAATTACAAAACCCATAGTTTGCTCTTATTTTTAGTGCTAATGTTACAAGTATATACTGCATATGTATATATTTATATACGTAGATGTGTTTGTTTATGTGTAATATGAGTAATTGCTTTTACTTATGCATCTTTCAGCACTGGGATGAACTAAATAATTCTGATATTAGTTTGATGCCTGAGAGGACTGAAAATCAGAAGATATAATATAATATTATTCACTTCAATTTGAATATCCTTACAATGAATTTAGATATTTTTAAAACCCTTAGATAAGCTTTTGAATGAGTTTTTCTTTCTTGAGATCTTTATGTAGGAATTTTTCAAGGCTGCTATTGATAGCATGGCTGCTAGTAGCTTGCGTTGCGTTGCAATTGCTTACAGATCGTTTGAGATGGAGAGAGTTCCTAAAGATGAAGAGAGCTTAGATAAATGGGTTTTACCTGAAGAGGAGCTGGTTCTGCTTGCTATTGTTGGCATAAAGGTACACATCCTCAAATTATTCTACTACTACAGTATGAATTCCTAGTCTGTCATTAATTTTTGTGAAAATATTGGCCTTTTTCTGTTTGATTTGAGTATTTCTAACCATGTATAGAAAATATTTTTTGGAATTATTAGTAGGTTATTACCTAATTGCATTATCATTTATCAGAAAAATATTTCTTTGGCTGAACATGTAGTAATATCATGTTAGTCAGGCCAGCTCTTTTCCATGGATTACTTACTGGTGACCATAAGCCCTGTAGAAGTTGCCCCTTCTCATGGAGTAATGATGTCTTTTTTTTTGCTCATATTTTCATGTGTAGGATCCTTGTCGCCCTGGTGTCAAGGATGCAGTCAGAGTCTGCACAGCGGCTGGTGTAAAGGTAGTCTGCCACATATTTGTTAATTGTCTTTACAGAAATGTTCTTCTTAATATGTTCTTTTGAAGTGTCCAACAATGATGCTTTTGGAGACAAGTTTCTTCTTTGAATTTTTTGCTTATCCTTTTCAACCTCTTTCTTGAGGTCCTTGATATCGATTTCCTTTAACAATGCAAGTTTATAGATTCAATAAATAATTAAATCATGGAGAAATGGCTATTGAGAACAAAGTCTTCGTGATTTGTAGGTACGCATGGTTACTGGAGACAATATTCAAACAGCAAAGGCAATAGCCTTGGAGTGTGGCATACTTGGTTCAGATGCTGAGGCTACAGAACCAAATATCATCGAAGGAAGGGTATTCCGTGCACTATCTGAAAGAGAGAGAGAACAAATTGCAAAAAGAATAACGGTATGATCACAATTTTTTTCTTTGGAAGGGATAGACGTGACATACAAACTAATTCTAAGTGATTAATAGGTGATGGGGAGATCTTCACCTAATGATAAGCTTTTGCTTGTGCAAGCACTACGCAAGGGAGGCGATGTTGTTGCTGTGACTGGAGATGGAACTAATGATGCTCCTGCACTTCATGAGGTTTGTTGTCTTTATTTTCATTCAGTTCATGATATCAGCATTATTATAGCTTTGTTCATAGTTTTGAATGTTGTCGTTAAGTCATCATCTAAAGTACTTTTAGCCTTCCTTATCCTCTTAAAAAGAACTTTATTTTTCTTCTCTATCTTTCAAGATGTATAGTATTTACTTTTTGAAGTGTATTTCACTTTTACCTTTTTATATTTTAGGCAGATATAGGTCTCTCAATGGGCATTCAAGGGACAGAAGTTGCAAAAGAAAGTTCAGATATTATTATTTTGGATGATAACTTTGCATCAGTTGTAAAGGTGGGTGAAAATGTTAGAATTTTTTCTTGCAGATATTATTATATTGGCGTTCTCTATGCCTTCTGCCTGAATTGTATACTGGAGTTTCAATTCCACATGTTCACAGTTGTTTTTTTCAAATTGCCTAATATAATATGGCAGGGTTTCTGCTTTACTTGCTAACAAAGTTACAACAGATGTTCTGGAATGTATTTTTATGTTGTTAGTTCTCAGGACACCATAATAACAATTTTTACCAATCATGTTTACATTCCTTTGATTTTTCTTTTGCTTAGTCAGGTTCTTCTTCACTGCTGTCCTTGAACTTCATGAATAGATATAGACAGTTAAACTCTCTCTAACTTGTTGTGGACAATAGCCAATGCAAACTCTCTCTCTAACTTGTTGCGGACAATAGCCAATGCCTTCTTGTTTTGGAAACAGTGATGGCAGAGAGAAAAAATATAGCCACTTCAGTGAGATTTTTAGAATCTCCAGCTCTATTTGACCTATAAAATGAACAGTACTTATTGACAAGATCATTTATTTACTAACTAGGACCTACAAGAAGTTGTTTGCGAAGTTATTTTTTGTGAGTGATTGATTTTTCTATACTGTATCCTTCTTGTTTGCTTGTCTTCCCCTATTTTTCTCACTGAAATTCGGAAAGATTTGTAGTTTCTTACAAAGATTATTTTTACAATTTCTTTGAAGGTTGTCCGCTGGGGACGTTCTGTATATGCCAATATCCAGAAATTTATACAATTCCAGCTTACTGTCAATGTTGCAGCTCTTGTAATTAATGTTGTGGCAGCAGTGTCCTCTGGTGATGTTCCTTTAAAAGCAGTACAGGTTGCTTCTCTCTCTCTCATATATTTAAATTTTCTGAGATGATTATGGTTAAAAATAAACTTGATACTGCATACTGCAGACATTTTCATCCTTGGAATGGGGGGAGAAGCAGAATGGTTAATTCAGTGGGAATAACTGTTTGCTTGCCAAAGATCAATAGCATGTTTGCATGGGGAATTTTCTAGGTTTATTCTATATTGACCCTAGTATGGTTTATTTATTTGTTTATTTATCTGTGTTACAGCTACTCTGGGTTAACCTTATCATGGACACCCTTGGGGCACTTGCACTGGCTACTGAACCACCAACAGACCACCTTATGCACAGATCACCTGTGGGCCGAAGGTCTGAATTTATGAGCTTGTTAAAAATATGCTGTATAACTTGAAATATACTCTATATATGTATTTGATTGTCCTTATTGTTGATGGAGCACTCTGATTCTATAGGCTTCTGCTTTTAATGGATAGACTAGTCATAAACTGACTTTTCTTTTTTTATTCCTCCATATTTGACTAGGAGAAAGACTCTGAAAGAATACTTGTCTTTTTTATTTCAAATGTCTGAACAGGATGGTATTTGATTGTTTGGGATGACATACTATTGTTTTTCTCAGGGAACCGCTTATAACAAACATCATGTGGAGGAACATACTTGTACAGGTATATATTATTGTCCTCTTCAGGAGGTTGAGTTATTATTGGTGTGTACATGCCACCTAATTAATGAAATCTATGAATTTCCAGTTAAGTGACTATTATCTATCTTTTTACTTTGGAATTATAGGCTATGTATCAAGTTGCGGTCCTCCTTGTGTTCAATTTTGCGGGACTGACTGTTCTTCAATTGAATCATGACAACAGAGAACATGCTGTTGAAGTGAAAAACACTATGATTTTCAATGCTTTTGTCATGTGTCAAGTAAGTAGGATTTTTTGTACAAACTATTTCAGTAGAGATAAATACCAAAACTTGGGAACGAATGTTTTCTAAATCATTTTTCATTAAATTCTTAATTAAAGAGTAATTTATATTCTTCATACCCTAGAGTTGTATTAATTTCATCTGAGTTTTTTTCTTTTCTGGGATCATTCTAATGCTCAGAGCATGTATCTACTGCCTGTTTAAATTACAGATATTCAATGAGTTCAATGCTCGAAAACCGGATGAAATGAATGTCTTTAAGGGAGTGACTAAAAACTACCTCTTCATTGGAATTATTGCAGTCACATTTATCCTCCAGGTGAGCAAAAACTTTATTAGTTTTTGGGTGTTCGTGATTTTGCATATTACTTGGTCTTGACAGAGCTGATCCTACTTTGATCTGCAGATTATCATTGTTACATTCCTTGGAAACTTTGCATCAACAGTCAGGATCAGCTGGAAACTATGGCTTGCTTCAATTGGAATTGGTCTCCTCAGGTTGCTTCAAATTTGATATGCATCTTTTCAATTTCCATTTTTATTATTTTAAAGATGGTTTTTGTTATCTTGTAATTAAAAAATAAGTGAGAATTGCAAATAAATTTGACAAAATTAAGTTAGGCAGTCATATAAGTTATGCTGACAGTCCTTCCTTATCGTCTCACAGCTGGCCGCTCGCTGCAGCTGGAAAACTGATTCCAGTTCCCAAGACTCCAGTTAGTGTGTACGTGAAGAAGAAATTCCGGCGAAACAGAGCTGCGCGGAATGCCTAACTCTGGTGCGTTTTTGGTAAACAAATTTTTTATTGAGGCTGCAATATGAATGGGGCTCAAAGCTGCTGGGGATGCTTAAAGAATTTCTCTGGTAGATTGAAATAATATAAGCTGCTTTGAAGATTTGCCACACAGCTACCAGACCTAAATACATACATACATACGGCTATAGATTTTACAGCTAACGAACTTTGAAAAAGAATCAATTTATCAAAACAGTTATATTGTTTGTAAACTTTATTGTATATTCTGTTATTAGTTGATGCAATTGTAAAATTTAATTGCTTAAATGAAACTGTTTAGGAGTAGAGTGATTATAATTAGGTGTTGGCTTTAAGAGGACTTAGCATAAAATTTTGAAACCACTTATCACATGAATAAGCTGAAATCAAACATCATATAGTGTATAATATTTGACTATTCTTGGTCACCCTTAAAAACTTTTAATATTATGAATTTTCAGATATGATAACTTATGAATGTAATATATCTTTTTCCTTTCATAATTTATTGATTTGTAATTTATCGTTATACGTCAAATATTTTAAATTTTCGAACTTCATAATTAGTTTTATAATTATTTTTTATTGTTAAATAAATTATGTCTTTTTTAGATGAAATGAACATAATTTTGAGGAAAAAAGATTAGAAAGCATAATTTATCCTTTTATAAAAAATTTTCTCAAATTTTCTTCTTACGGTTTACTTAGGCCTTCAAAAGAAAATTCTTTGTTCATTTTTCTTTTTAATCCTTCTAACTTTTTGAATGTGAAGTTGCAAATCGAGCCTGCAACATGAGTAACAGTAAAATCATATCCTGAATTAACTTAGTAAAACAACACATTATGCATGAGTAGAAAAAATGAAACTGTGTACAACAATGCTAGAGTGTGATTGTGCAAACATGTTATCAACCTTAATTAAAATATGATAATAATATGATAACGAAACAGAAAATAAATAAGAGGAAAACATAAGAATTTCTCTTCTAATTCACCAACCCCTCTCCACTCGCCATGTAATATTCCATTTTTTTAAGGCTAATTAATTTAT